TTCATCCTGTTCTGCTACATCTCAGTGATCTGTCGGCTGCGGAGCACAATGTTCCACCGCAAAGGAAGAGGAAACGCCCTCATCCTCCTCATCATCGTTGCGTTCACCGTCTTCTGGCTGCCGTATCACCTCATCAACATCCTACAGGTGAGCAACACCTCTCAATATTAGACCTTGGCAGTGAAAACCCAGCTAAAGTCATTTTTTTGTGATTTACTGTTTTCTACATAAAATCATACTTCATAAGGTAAAGAACATTCTGTGAAAATGTAACCTTGATATCTTTAATATTGACTGAGTAAGACCATGTCATTAATGGTTGAGATCAAACTTTGATGCTTGTTAAAATTAGTTGTTCAAATTTAGCAAACTTTAAGTATACCAGTTTAGTATACCAAAAGTGCAATTGCAGGGCATTTCTATTAAGTACATAATATGTAAATGTATTTGCAGTATTCTTAGCATGAAATACATGTATTTCAAATACATTTTAGTATATTTATTTTTGACTAGAGTATTTACATGAAAGGAGGCAAATCATGCAGGAAGATTGAATATCCATTCTGATTGGTCAGTTTGTGAATACGATTTTTTTAAGCTGTCAACTCACTTATGAAAGAAAATGAGACCTTCTGAATTAAAAATGCATTTAGACCATGTCAAAGATTGAAATCATAGTGACAATAATGGTTGAGATCAAACTTTGATGCTTGTTATCTCATAATTAGATTTTGAAAAAAATATTGGTCTTTAAAGCCAAGATATTTAAAGTGTTCTTGAAGTATACTTGCAATAGTTTCACTTCAGCACTAGGGTATTTAAATGAAAGGAGGCAAATTATTTAGGAAGACGTGTTATTTGAATGTCCATTCTGTTCAGTTTATGAATGAGAATGTTTTTTAAAGCTGTCAACTCACTTATGAAAGAAAATGTTATCTTTTAAATTAAAAATGCATTTGAGTTATGTAAATTAGTGGAGGAACTGCTAAAAACAGCATTAGTTTGATTACTTTTAATTCATTATTAAGGAGGCCCAGCCTCCCTTGCATATTCTAAAGGACTGTCAACTGTTTTCTTATGTGTGAAATATAAAGTAGGCTACGTTCAGTAAGGTCAGTTTTTTCTCATTTTATGTCAGCCCACAAAAGCGCTTGTCATTTCTCTTTCTTGTTGGTCTGTTCTCACAGGTGATTGGTGTGATGCAGGGCTCCTCCTCTTCTATTTTAAAAGCGGCAAAAGTGGCCCGTCCCAATGTGACAGCGTTCGCCTTCATGAGCAGCAGTGTGAACCCCGTCCTGTACGTGTTTGCCGGCAGCTCTCACATCCGTCAGGCTGGTCTGGGCTTCATGGCCAAACTCTTCGAAGGAACCAATTCAGAGTCTGCCTCCACCCGCAGCAGTCGCGGCTCTAATGCAGAGAGCTCTGTTTTCACCAAGCTGTCCTTCAAGCTGAGTCGTAAAGGGGACGGGGCGAGAGCCGAGACCCCTGGTGGTGAAGACGAGACCATGGCAGACGTACAAAACAGAGATGAGATGAAGACTCTGACCACCCTGCATTAAAGTGCTCATATCTATCCTCCTGAGGTCCATTTATAATGTTAGACAATGTTGTTGGACTCTCAGTGATCCCAACTGAAATATAATCTTCTGTTGCTGCTGTTTCAGAATAAAAGTGTTATTTTCTCTGTCTAAAAACGTAATTGTGATTGGCTGGAATGTGAGCGTTAAAACATTATCACATTTTTTTAGAAGATTTTCTTTGTGAAAAATTCTCATTTTGTTTTTTTTTCATACTCCTGCTGTTTACTGTGTTTGTTTGTTTATTAAACATGAATATGAATTTGCATGTATACACATCCTCGTTCATTTTCTTATGTCCACGCGACATTTAGCCGTTCAGGCTGGACTATATTTACATCTCTGACGTGAAATAAAAGTACAGTGAGTGTCATTGATCAAGTCATATTCCATTACATGCAAGTCTTGTTTGTTAGTCGTATTAGTTTGACTCCTAAAAACGAACAATGAACAAAAAATATCCAATGCAATACGATGTTTTTTTTAATACATATACATTTTTTTTAAAGTATGTCAGTGTATTTTTTCTTAGTATCATGAGAATCATTGTAAACGTTTGCAATACTAAATGTAGATAATGAATGTTTAATTGTGCTTGTTCATCAGCTCCCTTTTAATAAACCCAAGTAACAACAACAGAGAAGTTACACTATGCCTAAAAATAAATAGGATTTAAAAGGATTTTTGCTCTATATTGTAATTGAATGATAATTCAAAATAGCCAAACAAGATGAGATTGCTGGTTTCACAGGAGTTTATTCGAGCTGCTGTTGTTGACAATTATGTTTTAGTTTTACTTTTATGTTTAGCACAAACGTATTGTAACTATTTTACACCCAACCTTCCCTGCTTAAAGAATAAACAATATTCAAATTAGCTAACGCACATAATGTTGGTGCTCACTAACATACACTCAACCAGTCATTTTTTATCTAAAAACATGATTAATACATAAAATGTAATATAAGAGAAAAAGAAGTATCCACACCAACAGAGATCCTTGAAACACAAATAAGGAACTTAAGTTCTTGAATTAGCTCATAATAAAATAGAAAGAAAACATTATAAATATATTTCTAATAATGAGTATATATGAGTTTAAATAAGAAATGTTGAAAGAGTTTCTAAAAGCAAATTATGTAAACAGCAATTCTGGACACTGAGGCTCTTAATATTAAGCAAACAAACCCACAGGAATCACACTGATACATCAACAGAAATTCATCCACCTGCAGAAAAAACAGACCCTCAAAAGAACAATCCATACAATTTACAGTGCAGTCAATACCAGTTATTGATTTGAACTGTTTAAACTATATTAACAAACATCTGAGCAAAATATTTCTGCCTTTAACCTCCAGGTGTGACTGCCTGCTGAGTTAGAGATTATTATTTGTAAAATGATTGCTTTACAAAGTGATTAATGAAGTTAAAGCAACACACATTTTATATCTCACATGAAAGGTCTGTGTATCCTCTCACTCTTAGTATCTGCTGCAGATGAAGTTGAGTTTGTCGTGTTCAGGACGGCTGATCCAGTGCTGATCTTCTCCAGACTGAACTGCTCCAGATCTCACTGCGTCTTCACAGTCCTCCTCTGATGTGCCGTTCCCTGGAGCCCAGTTCTGATAGCACACGGTCTCTCCATTCACCCAGAACCAGATGCCCACAGTGCAGGAGTGACGTAAACCCAACCACACCGCCGCAGTAGACGCCCGTTTAACCACGTTCCTCACCTCATGCTGAATCTCTTCTGAATGAACCGAGACCAGATCCACATGATTCTGTCTGCAGTATCTCAGAGCTTCAGACCACGTCCGACTCTCTCTGATCACAATCAGTTTATCTGGAAACCAAACAAAGCACAAGCAGAAACTAAAGAGAGACTGATCAAAAACAACATGCAGAACAAACACTGTGGATGAATTTGTCATGTCAGACATGTAGTGTGAACTTTAAGAGATCTGGAGGTGATGATGGATTGTGTGTGTTTAGTGAAGATCTACTCACCTTCATGACACACAAAAGAATATGGTTTGGTGCAAGAGATGTCATGCCATTGTCCCTGAGCATTCGGTTCAACAGCTGTACAGTCTTCACCACGTCCATAATTATTAGGTTCACCAGACTTCCAGTATCTGAATGAGGAGTTACTCTGATCTGACCACTGCCATGAGTCTCTGAACAGACCGATCCAAGCTTCAGATATGTGACTATCATTCATGATCTTCTGCACCTGTTGATTCTCATCCTGGTTCCTCACACTGACCAGATCAGTGTGATTCTGTCTGCAGTAACTCTGAGCATCTCTCCAATCCTTCATATGATTGACAAAGATGAGTTCTCTGTTCACTTTAAGCAAAACAAATGGTAAAATATTCGTGAATCAGTTTGTTCATTATTCTTACACTGCTTTATAAAAAAACAACAACAAAAAAAACCCCACTGTGCTTAGGGTTGCCACCTTCAGCGAGGTAAAATAAGGGACATCCATTCACCCATTCAAAAAAAAAAAAAAACCCAAGGACACAAATAATCAGTGAGGAACTCATAAACAATAAACCATGAGAAAACATGCTCAAGTATGTAAACTCATTAATATTGTTATTTTAAATTTGATTATTTATAATTATTAATTATTATTATTATTAGTCTTTTTTGACAGTTCTGCAGCTGTTACCTAGATGGGATGAAATTTTATTACAATACAATACAAATTTTATTTCTATAGCACATTTAAAACAACTGCCGTTGACCAAAGTGCTTTCCAGCAACATTACATACAGTCACACAAACAAGATTCAACATTAAAATATAAATCCTGGTCCCTCTAATCAATTCTAAAAGCTCTACCAAAAAGGTAAGATTTCAATCTAGACTTAAAAGCATCCACAGATGGGGAAGATTTAATGTGCATTGCCACTGCGAAAGCCCTATCACCCTTTGATTTTAAACTGCAAAAATATTTCCATTAATAAAAATACAAAACCCTTATTATTATCTTTTTTTTATTTATTTGTTATTTGCAAATAACACATTTGGTCAGCATTTAACAACAACATCGTTAGCTTAGCAACATTGTTAGCCACTGGTTAATTTTTTAATACTAACCAATTTTTCCATAAACAGTTTTTACTGTGGGAATTACAGCTTTTTAGAGCCATTCTACACAATATGCATTACAAAACAAACATTAAACACATTAAAACACCAGCCAGGATACTGCTCACCCACTTACCCTCCCAAGAAATAATACCAGCAGAATTAACAGTTTAAATACAAAGAAATTGGAACACACTTAAACTGTGTATGAAAGAGAAGATAAGATACTTTCTTTTCTACTCTCTCCATTCAAAGTTTGCAATGTTTGTAATCAATGAAAGAACCTTGGGATTAACAGACTGCTGTTTTTTAGATTGTTTCTTCTCCACCTTGGTCCCCCTGTCCGGATTTATCTTGAAAAGGCATCTGTGAAGACCGAAATACACCTCAATATAGTGCTACAAACAATTTTCATAATCAGCAAATCTGTGGATGAGCCATATCATTTTTATGTAATTTTTCTTCATTGAAACATTGTAGTCAAGTCACTGGGTTTAGCCTTTGGGTCATTTTCTTTTTTTTTTTCATAGTGTTGGGTATTTCAGCATAACCCACTGCTGGGTTAAGTGTAACTGACAATAGAAATGATACACCTCCTCACAAAGTTTCCTGCCTGATGGATCAAAGCATTGCCGGTTTGCAGTTTATACACGATCATTTTTTTCAACGGTCATATTGTCTACTGTCCTAAAAGAAAACTTCCTGATGTGAAGGTTTGTATTTACCTTAATTCACTTGTATCAAGTAATTACTATACAGTAGGGCTGGCATATTTTATTTCTTTATTAAAAGGTACCTTTGCCACACTAACATTTTCATATCTGCTGTAGGTTCGCTTGGATTGCAGACTGAGCAAGATGTGACATGGCCATATTTGAGAATCTCCCATTAAGCAAGTGTGCCAACAATGACTGACGTGTCTGCTGCCAGTATGAACATCTCCATAAATACTGTAACTAAGGTAGTGACGGCTGCACCACAAGATTGGCATAAATACATATATAAAGCATTTCTTTCTTAAAGGGGTCATATGATGCTGCTAAAAAGATCATTATTTTGTGTATTTGGTGTAATGCAATGTGTTTATGCGGTTTAAGGTTAAAAAACACATTTTCCACACACTGTACATTATTGTTTCTCCTCTATGCCCCGCCTTTCTGACATAATTACGGGTTATTATGACTTATACTGTCTTTTTACGCGTTGCGTATCGTGCTGCGTAAACATAAAACCATGTCTGCATCTGTGATCGGAGAAACGACAAACAACAAGCGCTACTCTACACTGCTCAAAACTCGTGTTTGAATCATCAGTGGTGTAGGGATTTCTAACTATGAACGGACACTGATATCAGCCATCACGAGATTTGTTAGTAGAACTGCTCAAGCCTCTGTGTCATCAAGAAACCAACCAATCCAACGAGGGATCTCCCCAAAAGGACGTCATCCAAACGTCATTCCGGCGCCAGATCAACAGCCAATCAGCAACGGAATCCCCTCCAACAAGCCCGTGTCAGCGATGGAACTGCCTCAGCGTTCAGCTGTCAACTAAGCAAAACGCAAGTATAAACAAAACTCCTATCTGCTGACATCGGTGTTGAACTGGTGAATTGAGTTAAGCAGTAAAGATAAGACAATCGCTGCTTGGTGTTTCTCCTAGGCTGAATTTAAAACCACTCTCGAAAACGAGTTAGGACTTTGAAAACTTCATCCAACTCCGTTGACTCATTTCCTTGAATCTCTGTGTGTATGTGTATGTTTTAGTTAGGTTTTTATGTAATCTAGATTAGCCAATAAAATTCATGTTTCATTTATAAAGAAGAAGTGTCTGGGGTCATATAATTTCAAGGTTAAACCTGGTGCCAAAAGATCCCTTGCTACTTAGCTCGTAGCTTACTTATAATAATTACCTCTGTTAAGAGCTTACAAATAATCATAATTGTGTTGACCGTGGCCAGGAAAACACATTTAATTTGTTAAAAGATACTAAGAATCACTGGCTCGCTGGACGACCCTGGATTTAAAGTGCAAACTAACAAATTTGAAATCAGTTTAATCAGGTAGACTTGGGACATTCAGATCCGAGTCCTCGCAAGACCTGAATGTAGTAATAATCATTAATTCCCTATAATTACAAATTAATAATGAATAAATGAAATGTCATTACAGTGGCAAATCCTTTAAATATGAAAACATACTTAAAGGTTGTGAGTCAGAATTATAGGTTCAGGAAACAGTCCTCCATAAAATGTGCTGCACACATCTGAATATTTGGGTTGAACTGTTCTGGAACAGTGTTGTAAATACAACTTAACCACTGATTTCTAGTCGTGTCCTCTTTTGGAAGACCAAACAAAGTAGTTTCGATTTCACAACGAAACACAGCGTCTTCACGACATGGCGGCGGCAACAATACTACAGCGAGAATAAAAGTTACGCCTTCTTTCTTTGCTTGAACATTTGGGCGGTGTTATGCAAATCTTCCCACATAGTGAGGTAGATATGTGGGGGCGTGTTAGAACGAGTCGTTTTAGGTAGGCGTGGCTGACTCTTAACTTTTATAAAGAATATCTCTTTGGATTTGAGACTTTAGTCTTTGCAACTTTACAGATCTTCTTTATGCACCAAGAGCCTGTAACACTCCAAAGAGAAAGGAAAACTTGAATTTGCATCATTGACCCCTTTAAATATTACTCAAAAATTTGAATATTGTAATATTTTGAATAGGAATAGACTGTTCATAATGTACCAATACCAGTTGTCTTCCCACATGTCTGCTCATATTGCTCCTGTAACTTCATAAATGTTTTGTATGTTGTAATGATCTTACCATTAAATAAAATTATTTAGAGTATTCTTCTGTTATCTTATTTAATGTCCATTAATTTAATGAGTTGATTCCTAAATGAACAATTTATCTGATCTATTCACCTATGGGTCGCATATATACATGCATACACCTTTTTTCTACAGGACATTAATTTTCTAGTTACACTTCCAAGTCATTCAGTATGGCACAAGTGTAACCCCAGTTTTCTGAAGCAATACAATCACTATAAAAATGCAGTTGTAACAATCTAACTCTCATATATACAATACAAGGCTGTAAAGTAACTTTTATGTATGGATGTACATTAATATAAGTTATAATTTGATACTATAACCATTAATAATCTATCTACTTGTCATATAAAGTGCCCACATTTGTTCAGAAGCCTTGGATTAAATAACATGAGTAATGTGGATTGCATTGATGATAGAGCGTCAACTTGTTGGTTACCATTCACCTTCATTGTATGGACATAAACAGCTGACAACTTTCAACAAATATCTGTGTTCTAAAAATGAACAAAAGTTTGGAATGACAATGATGATTACATGGCAGTTTTTTCTTTCTGCTTAACTACCCTTTAAATTAACTTTTCAAAAATGTAGGGTGGAACTAAATTACTAGCACTTCCTTGATGAAGGTCTAATTGCAGAAAATGCGTTTACCCTTCAGCTAGATATATTTAAGGGTTTACTAGAATCCCCAGCAAGCCCAAGTTCAAACTCGCGGGCAACATAGAAGTCCACTATATGGAGAAAAATCCTGGAATGTTTTCCTCAAAAAACAATTTCTTTACGACTGAAGAAAGAAAGACATGAACATCTTGGATGACAAGGGGGTGAGTAAATTATTTGTAATTTTTTGTTATGTAAGTGAACTAATCCTTTAAAGGAATCATTCGAAAATGTCATGTTTTTTTTTAAAATTCAGATAGAAGATTTAATCACACATACTTGTAGATGAACGCTCTCTGCATGGCGTTACATTCGGCTGAGCTCTGGTAGGCTGATCAGGAATCTCACTAGCATCTTTCTCAGCTGGATAGAAGAAACATAATAGGAATTAGGCTTGCTATCAATTGCTTTGCAAAGCTAAAATATTAGAATTGATCCATTATGTTGTGAGGATATAATATTTTAATGTTTACATACATTTACTTACAATTAAGTATACTTACGTAAAGCTTTAATCTGTGCAATCAATTTTCTAGCTTCAATTGGCCTCAGGACGTTAATAAGATCTGGCTCCTGGACATATTTCAAATCTTCCAGGGTTTTCACACCTAAGGTCTGGAGAGTCTCTAACACTAGGTCTTTTGAACTTGAATTTGGCAGCACAGAGCCAATGAAGTCAGCAAGATCATCGTCTACATCATCCATTACTAAGAAAAAAGGGGTCAGACATTATAATTTAGTGTTAGCCCAAACATTCTCCAAAAAGGCCAATTCAGCCCAACAACAAATGTAATATATTCTTACTTTCTTAGCTTCAGAGGCAGCCATTTCACTATTAGCTCTGAACACTTTTAGCCTGAATTATGTTTTAGGATGCATATAGTTTGTTTGTTTTTTGTTGTTGTTTTTTTATAGGGCACAATATAATTTTCCCCTACTCAGTATCTACTATGCTATGTTTGAGAGCAATGACTCTAGTTCCACAAAGAGGATAAGCAGCCAATGGATAGTAATCCAACAACAGCTCTCCATTTAGGCACTTCATGTCCCCACATGCTGTGTGAATTTCATACAGTCCCAACTCTTGTAAATACGATGAACCATGAGGAGTTAGAAGAAAGTACACATTTTTATCCATTATTAGCATAAGTTCGATTTGTGCAAACTCTGTTGGCATGCAAGGACTTGTGCAAAGAAAAAAGCTCTTTTTGTAAAGAGTGCCTTTCCACTGTATCTCAGTGGATGCTACAAGAGCACACTGATCAGGCAAGCTTGCCTCTACTGCACTGCATACTGCATCACTGTACAAGTCTGCATGGAAAGGGGTGGACTGCTTCACTTGCAAAATAGGAGCAAAGACAGAACTGGAGTATAGATATGTTTGGAGAAGTTGGTGGTTATTTGCAAGTGTCTGGCAGACATTTTTGAAGTTTTGTGTTCTTCTCACACATCTTTTAAAATAGGAATGCTTACTCTCAAATCTCATTGTCCACAATCTTATTAGAGGTCCAAACTTGAGCATCAAAGCAGGATAGTGAACAATGTAATGGTGCGTCGGCTTGAGTTTACAATCAGGAAATATCTCCTTTCTTGTCTCCAAATACTCCACAATGAGAACACGGAGCAAAGCAACTTGAGAGTGAGATATTTTAGGGGCACATATTAATTCCACAAGTTCTTTCAGCTGGATCGTTAGCTGCCATATCGGATCATCTGTGTCTGTAATCTTTTCACCTATTAGAATAGGAAGAAGCCTCAGGAGAGACCAGTTTTCTGTTGCCTTGCCACCTATTTTATCTTGTTTTTCTGCAACCTCTGAAGGAGTAGAAGTGGCATCAGATCCATGATAGCTAAACTGCTTGATTCTTCGGTTTAGCTGACTATAGGTGAAAAATTTCTTCACCTTCACGAAGTACTTGATGCAAATGGCCAAGTCACACGCCACAACTCCTTCAAACACATCACGACCAATACAAGGTGGGAGGCCAGGCTGACAGACATGAAAGTAAGTGAGGGAGTTGAAAACGGAATCAAATTTTACACCTCTGCTTTCTGTTAGGGCACCACTTCGTATCTCTTGTACTGTCTCATTGTAGTTTTGCACTGTTCTGGGTGGGGTAACTTTTTGAAAATCAAGGAGCTCACTTCTAGTTGCCAAGCAATATCTACAGAAGTAAGTGGAAGCACTGAAATTCTCTGTGAAACCTCCAATTTGGTGGGACCCTAAATTATCTCTGGCAATGCAAAAATGTGTTGCCTTAACAACATGCCCAGAGATGAAAAGCCCATTTGCCTCCAGCTCCTTTATATCTGACAGCATTGTGGAGAACACTTTGTCGTGGCAAAAATGTTTAAAGTGTTCCTCTCTACACAAGAGCACAAGCTGCAAGTTTTCAATGTTGGAACGATAAAAAAGGTTGGCCAGTGTAAAGTAAACCCCAAGTATCTTGTATTTTTTTTTCGCTGACCCAAGAGGGTTAATGATCTCAAAGGCATCTTGATATAGTATGAGCTTTATACTTATACCCGACTCCCCAAACGGAGCATTACTCTTGTATACAGAACCATCATTCACATCATTAAAAACATGTGAAGTGTCATCTACAGACTTTGTACATTCTTGCCACACAGTTGGGTCTTTTAGCAAAGCCTGCAAAGTCTCTTTTATTGGGATATACTGAGCAAAATGTTCCTTTCAGTTTTCATCAGTGCCTAAACTAATAGTTTGAGGATGCACATAAGATAAGTTTTTTCTGAAAGTACTGCATTCTCAGATACTCAGTAGAGAGTGCAGGGCTACAGGATGCATGCAAGCTACTGTCATTTAAACTTGTCAGAACATCTTTGATTTCTGACTCACTCAATTGGGTATTTGCTTGCAGGGCACCTTTAAGTAGATTTACTATGTACTGGTGACACACATCATTAAGACTGTCTATTTGTTCCACAATCATTTGAATAGTGGAGGAAGGTACAAGGTATTTGGCCTGTAACTTCATATAAAACATAGATACATTCCTCATATATAGCCCCTTCATATAAAGTGGGTCCAGGATAGCCTCAGGCTCATCAATGCTTACATCTGATGGACTTTGAGCAACATCAAGTGAATGGCTGGGCACAGAATGAACAAAATGCACAGCTGAGACCTGCACAGATGTAGCATGTTTATGATATCTAGAAAGATACACAACCTTTAAATGGGCACTTAACCTCTTCTTTCTTTGAAACATGCAATTTCAAATGATCTAAAAGATCTTTCAGATCATTGCACTGTTTCTGGCAATGTGGATTTTGACATTTCAGTGGACCCTGTACTGCTTCACATTGCAACACGGATGACCGTGTATGGTGGCGCAAAATATGACTTAACTGAAAAAATCATAAAAAATAGACCAAATCATATTTTGTAAATCCAAGTCATGTATATGTTGTGTTAAAAGTATTACTAAATGTTTTACAGCTGCCATAACAACACCTGTTTCTATCAGTTAAAAGAAAATTTTGGAGTACTATGTAATAACAATGTAACAATGCATCATGAATATCCCATTCACAGCTTAAAATGATGTATTAATGATTTTCCACTAAATTCACAGCTTTACATTTTATTTGTATGTTGCTTTGCATGTTTTCGAATCTTGGAACGCATATATTTTGTATTATTTTTATGCACTTTTGAGACCGTCCCTTAATTCGCTCGGCAAATGTCTAACGAATGTCCAATATAAAACCAACTTTACCGCAGTCATTACTTACTTTTACTTTTACTTTTAGTCATTTAGCAGACGCTTTTATCCAAAGCGACTTACACATAAGAAAAAGTAATTAAAGCTAAAAGCTTTTAAGAAAATGAAATAAATTAAATAAAAATGACAAATACATACAACAACATTTCAAAACTAAAACATTTAAATGAAAACAATAAAATAAAGCTACAAACAATTCAAAAATATTAAAAGAACAAAAGGTATGAGTATAATAATGATTCTAACATAGCACTAAGTCAAACACCAAAAAACAACTACATGTGTGTGTGTACAGCCACACACACATACATACACATGTACATATATATAAATACATTAAATATATATTATTTTATTTCCATTTTGTATGTTGAAGTACTGAAATAACTCAAAATAAATAAAAGTAAAACTTAATAAAAAGCCTATATAGACATAATAAAAAACTAATAAAATGACAACATTACTACAACTGTAACTAAAACTAAAATAGATAACTAATACAAATCAAACTACATTAGTTCATCAGTAATCCTAAAAAAATAACACTGAGCCAAACACACATGCTAAAATAACAACAACTTACTGACACATAGTAAGAACTAGATTATAAAAAACTACTACTTGCCCTTGTTTTCGGTCATCTATTAAAATGTACACTTTGTGAGTTGCATGTTTGAACGTCGATAAATAGTTTTGAGACAAACTTTTGACATTACCTCGCAAAGTGTTGCTTCCTCTTCGCAGCCGAGAAGTGAACCTGCATGCCGCCGTCTCTGTTTTCGGTCGTCTATTAAAATGTACACTTTGTGAGTTGCATGTCTGAATGTCGATAAATAGTTTTGAGACAAACTTTTGACATTACCTCGCAAAGTGTTGCTTCCTCTTCGCAGCCGAGAAGTGAACCTGCATGCCGCCGTCTCCGTTAAAATGGCACGCTTCCTCCTGAGTGCACTGCCACCTTGCAGAGTTGTTCTGATGCCTTAAAAATTATTGCTATGCAAATCGTGTTCTGAACAAAGAAGTCTGTGATATTTTGTTTGCAGTGGTTTTGTTGCTTAATTTTTTTGCAATTAAATTGCAGATGTCGTTTTTTGACTCATTTTACGTTTACTTCATTTTACTTAATTTACTAAATTGTAATGCATACTGTGCACTAAGAGACTATAAAATATGGTATTATAATTATTTATTAAGTATTCAGATTGATACAGATGTACAACTATACTAAAGCAAAAAGAATATCCTGTCTACTGATGGGTTTTGAAACTATTGCCTAATGTAGTCAAATAGGAAAGTCCAATACTCTGTGGTACTGTGTTGTCTCATTTACCTTATGGTAGTGTAAAGATCAGCTAAAGAAACCATGTGAAAAGGTATGGTAGACAACGATGGCTACTAAGAAAAAAGAAAACCTTGTTGTTAGTCAATGGAGCAGTAGTCATGTCTCATGGATTGGTTACACTTTATTTTGATGGCTCCCTGTTGACTTCACATTGCAACTATCTGTACAGATTAATAAGTGATTATAATTAACTTTCAACTTTGATAGCTCCATTTTTAACAGATCTCTGATAAGTGACAAGCTACGTGGTGTCCGAAATTGACACAGCTGTTATACATGTATTGAAAGAGGCCAGCAGATTATTAAAAAAAACTTTATTTTAACGGTTACTTTTTAAAAAATTGTCGTTTAATATCTGTTAAAAAACAGATATATAGTGTATTCCGTTTATACAGATTTTCTCTGTTAAATCATGTTACACATTTCAATAAACAGTTTATTGTTGTAATTTTAATACATGGTTTCTGTAATTTAAAAAAAACAGGGAAAACACTGTAAAATGTATTGGCAAAAACTGTAAAAAAAAAAAAAAAAACAAGCTTTGTACAACCATATCGAGCTTTGTGAGCCCGGTGAACCTGATCTAAACCAGCGGGCTGTTTCATAAAAC